AGTTTCATCGAAACAGAAATTCACTGCTGTCCAATTACGGTGAATTTAAGATTCAGAAAACTGGGCAGTGTCTTAAAGGGAAAATAAGGTTGCTTACCTGTAACCAACGTTCTTTGAGTGGTCACCTGTGCATTCACACGTAAGGTCTCTGTGCCTGCACAGGACCCGTTGTTCAATAGAGATTCCCTAACTAGGTGCTTTTGGAGGGAGCGCCATCCCTTCTCCAAATGCTATGTAAAGATGGGGTTCCCATCATTTTCTCCAGTTCTTGTGAGAACATCGCCTGGGCCTTAGAGCTAGAGCATGGATGTTAAGAAAAGTGATATTCCTATGCAACACCAGTGAGGGGCCACCAAGGACCACATGAAGAAAGCTAGTTATAGGTAAGCAACTTCACTTTCTTCACGGTCTCTGTGCATATATGGGTGTTCAATGAGCTTATCTTGGAATGAAGGTGGGCGGGTTTCATCATTGTAGAACTGCTGACAAGATCACCCATCCAAAGGAACAGTCTTTTCTCACTCGTACATTGAGTCATGCCGGACAAATGTGGGTGGGTTAGACGAGGTCACTGCTTTGAATAGGTCTTCCACCAGGCCTGCATGTATTGCCTTCGAAGTTGCCATTGTTCTGGTCTAGTGCGCCTTTGTTTGTTGGGGAAGTTCAAGTCTGGTTAGTTGGTATGCCAGTTTGATGGTCTCCACTATCCAGTGGGCCAGTCTCTGAGGTGTTATTGGTTTTCTTTTCCAGGGTTCCATGTAAGAAACAAACAGTGCTTTCATTTTGCAGATTCATTCAGTGCAAGAGCGGAAGAAGGCTAGGGCTCAGCTGACATCCAGCAAGCATAGTGTGGTTTCTATCGGACTGGATGGTGCCAGGAAGAAAGCTGGTAAGATAATATCTGGGTTCAGATGGAAGGAAGCTACTTTTCTGGGGAGAAAGGAGTGGTCCGGATGGAACACTGCTTGTCCTTGTGGAAAGTTAGGAATGGAGGGTCAGTTCTGAGGGCACAAAGTTCAGTTATCCTGCATGCTGATGTAATGGCCACAAGGAAGACTACCTTCCAGGACACCAGGCAAATGTCTGCCATAGCCAATGGTTCAAATGGCAGCTTTGTTAAAGCCTCCATTCTGGCACGATTGAGCGAGATCTAGTGGTGATATGTTCTCTAGTCCATGTAAGAACCTTCTGGTGAGAGACCATATATTCCATGATTGTCCAATAGAAGGTGGATATAGCCACCAAGTACATCCTGATTGACAATGTCCTTAGCATGAAGGGTATATAAGAAGGAGAAAATCTGATGGATGGAGGATGCACTAGAGTTAATCCTTGCTGGTTTGCAAAGTGGTCAAATTGTTGCCACTTAGCTTCATACAAACACCTAGTATTGGGTTTAAGTGCCATGTAAATGATCTGTGGTATCTTGGGCTGTATAGGTGTTTCTGGTTCTACCCAACAATCCTCCAGGCTGTCAGTCGCAACATCTCTGTGTCAGGGTGGAAGGCTTGTCCTCCATCTGGAGATATTATGTCCATCTGGAAAGGGAGTTTCCTATAGTTCTGGTTGGACGGGAAGAGGAGGTCCATGAACCAAAGCTGCCATGGTCACCATGGTGTCACTAGGAGAAAGTCCATGTGGGCTCTCCGGACTTTGGTCACTGCTTCATTGAGTGGAAATGCTGGGAACATATAGAGTTCCATTCCACCTTTGCAGGAACTCATCACTGGGAGATTGCTTGCTTGTCCCTGTCCTAGAGCAGTAGCAGTTGCACACAGCATTGGCTGGAGTTGCAAAGAGATCTATGGATGGAGTTCCCCATGTCATAAATAGCTGTTTTGGGATCATGGGTTGAAGTTCCCACTTGTGTTTTGGATCCATCTTTCTGCTCAATTCGTTGGCTACTTCATTGTAGAATCCTGGTAGATGAACTGCTACGAGGCTTATATTGTGTTTTATACACCAGTCCCAAATCTGTTTGGTTAGAGCAAGTTCCACTGTTTAAACTGTGGTATTATTGGAGATAATATTGGAGATTTGGATATGGTGGTTGTAGAGCAATTGTTGGAAGGATAAAAGCAGCCTCCATACTGCAAGGAACTCCAGATTGAAATGCCTGGTGGCCTCTTGATTATCCCACAGTCCATATGCTTCCTTCCTGACACAGTGGGCTCCCCATCCCCATGGGGAAGCATCCATAGCTAGAGTAGGATGCAGTATCTTTTGATCGAAAGGGACACCAGCCAAAAGTTTTCACACTGTAGTCCACCACGTGAGACTGGACCAAATGAAATGAGGAAGCATGATAAGAGTGTCAAACCAGACTGCGAAGCACGCTCCACTCAGAATGATTATACTAGATGACAACGTGGTTGGTGGCTGTGGTGGGGTTGGCAATGCAGCCAGCATCAGTCCCACTGCAGGCGCTTTGGAACAGACTAGTGATTTGTCTGGTGTGGGGAAATGGCAACAAACCTTCTTAGATTTTTCAACAGGCTTGTTTCCCACCATTTTTGACCTTCCCTCAGTCACCATTCTGGGGGCATGTTTAGGCCTCTTCGGGGGCTGTTTTTCAGTGGCCTTCGAAGCAGATTCCTCATGCTCAGCTGCTGGAGACCCAGCAGCTGCTTATGAAAGACGAGCAGCACGCGAAGTGGACCGAGTGGACATGATCATACACATTGCCTGCGGGGCTCTAGTTCACATTTTGTGCTGTAGCCGTCCTGCCGTATTTTTCCTCACCGGTTTTGTCATAGCCTGGCAGTGAGGACAACTGTCTCCCCCATGATCTTCACCCAGGCATAGAAGTCAGAGCGAATGTCCATCCATTGAAGCAATTTTAGTGCCACAGCAAATGCATTTTCTGAAGGCTGCCATGAATGCAATCAGTAAGTGAAATAAGGTGAATAGACGGGGGGAGGGGTGGAGTGAGAGTTAGAGGTAGGTAACAATAGGCAAGTTCTGAGGTAAAGCAGAGAAACTTTTAAATATATATATATATGATGGGATTTAGAATAGGAATAGAAATATTCTGAAATGGGAAGATATTGAAGTAGAATTGAGGGGAAAAGAGTTTTAAGTCATGAGGAGAGCTAGGGAGTAAGTGAATCCAGAGTATCCCAGGCAGCAGTTGAAAATGAGCTGGAGAAAATGGTGGGATTATGGCATTCAGGGAAGGGGGTGGGGCTCCCACCAAAAACCCAAGCTAGAGAATCTCTAACAGGCCCAGAGCCCGTATGTGGGATGCACGGAGACCATGAAGGGGAACTGCCAAAGAAGAATCCAAACCAAATCTTGTTTAAAGTTCATGCCAGTCTAACCCTAAGCAGTCCTCCACAATAAAGAAAATCTGGCTACTCTGGAAAGCATTTTGGCAGGGCTACGTCACCCATTAATGTAAATCTTAGATGAGTTTCATATTAATCAAATATAGCATAGACCAGAATAGTGACTGGTATGTCACACACCAGTACCCCTTGATTGCATACCTTTTTCCATTGAAGCTCTATGGCGTAGAAAAAGCTGCAGCCTTTCTTTGGCTACAAGTAAAGACAGGAGAAAACCATGTCTTACCTGTGAATTCCTCCTCCTACATGCAGCAGGAGATACTGGAATCTGGAGTGCCCTTTCCATAATTCTAGTTGAGGCTGATTTATCTTACTGCATGTGAGGAAATACGCTTCATTTTCAAACAAGAGGTGTCATAGTACAAGCTTGTGTGGAGAACGCTGCCATCTGCCCTAGAAGGAAGCCCTGAGGTTGAACAGGCACAGGCTGCGGCGATCCTGAGAGGGGATTCTCTATATGTTCAGAGCTACTGCAAAATAAAATGCAGTGGTGTTTGTTTTTTCTCTGTGGCCAGAGGAGGATGGGGGTTTGCAAGACCAGTAACAGCAAGAGATCACCCTTGTAAAGTAGGATGCACCAAGAGCTTTCTAACTTTCTTTTGAACCAAGGAAAATAGTTGTAAGGCTTTGAACACACAGGTCTGGGCAACTGCTTGGAAATGTTCAGTAACCGATGTTTTCTGTTAATAAAACAGACAACTGTTCTTTTTTTAATGGTTTACATCATCTACTTTAATTCTCATTCCCCGGACCTGACCAAATAGCTTTTGTTTTTGAAGTACTCCCTCCAGTGGCTCAAAAGATAATGGAGTGGGGAGAAATAGGCAGGAACTCCTTTGAGTGTGGGAAATTGTATATGTACTGTTAGCTTTTGTTCTAATGGTGCTATTATGCACTTGTTTTTACCTGAACTATCATCAAGCACCTTGGGGCCTGGATAGACCAGTTCAAGAAATCATCCCATTCAGTAATATATAAAAACTAGAATAAAATAAAATAAAAGCAAACTTTATAGGGTACCTGAACAAATGTGCTTCCAAGATTGGTACAGATTAGACAAAACAAAACCTAAGTTACTGAAGTATTAGAATGCCATCTTCAAATCACTGAAAGAAGCATCTCAGGAGAATGAAATGAGAACCTGATGATGGCGACACCTCTCATTCTTCAACTCCTTTCTCAAAATCCACTTGTAGTGTGAAGATTCTGACTTAACCATTTAGTTCTTATCCTTAACTAAAACATATGTGTGAATGCATTTGTTCCTGTCTATCCTCTATTACCTTTATACTCCAACTATTAAGAATTTAAATTTTAAGTCCCAGGGCACAATGAGGAGCTCAGGTTTTTGTTGTTGTTCAGATATAGTAAGGTGCCATAAAATTAAATCTCAGTCACCAGCAGAGGGTCAAAGTTACTTTTACCCCTACCAGTAACATTTTGCAAAACTCAGCAATAGGGCAAGACTGAGGCTACATCTGATCTGTATCTGGATATAAAAATGCCTGGGACCTCCATTTATCCTGCCTTGGAGTGCAGGTGGAATCTAAAATCCTGAGACTTTCTGTAAGGACGGGATAGAAAAGCTTTAAATAAATTAAACAGTAAAATAAAAATATATAAAGTTATATTTATATGCACAAGTTCTTAGCAGAAAGTCAAGTTCAAAGAAGAAACAGCGCTCACTATCTTGACAGACACATCTATAAGCACAATCCAAAGAATGTGGATTCCACAAACTATATTGTTTTCCTTTGGACATAATCTATTCCAGCTTCTACAAAAAATTAATAAAAACTGTTTATTATGAAAGCCTACTTACAGAGTACATTCTTTATTTACTTATGTACACAATACACACACATGTGCATGTACAGCCTCACAGAATAAATTTACAATCTAGGATTACTGTCTTGAGACCTTGCAAGAATAAATTTAGAGCAGGTTAAGAACAGGGCAGGATGTTGCTACAAATGTCTTCAGTGTAACACTTTTAAAATATAGCCAGAAGCATATCACATAATTCCATTCACCTTCCATATTTCAAATACTGCCCTCAAAATAGAATGCAAACGTAAGCAAGATCCTTTTTCTCCAAACCTCTATTGTTCATTTTAAAAGCTTCAAAGTGTTCAAATAAACTTGAGGAGGACTGAAAGGGACAGATGCAATTGCTAGAAAAGAACCACTTCATCCCCCCATTTTCTTTCTTGACAAAAATGTATTTGCTTGTTTTAAAAATAAAAAAGAATACCTGAGCATGAAAAGGTGTGGGAAAGAATGGAAGGAAAAGCACACCACCTGTTCTGCAATACAAAATTGTGCTTAGAAAAGTTAAAACAACACCTTGATTTAAAAATAAGCCAGAATATCAAGGCAGCTTCCACAGCTGGCGTAAGAAGAAACATCCAGCCCTCGCAGTGGTTAAAAATAAAAATAAAACAGCATGGAATCACAGGCCTTTGTCTGTCCTCTTCAACCCAAAGCCTTTCTCAGGAGTCCAACATAGACTGATGGAGCACACCATTGTAAGGAAAGGCTGCTTCAACTAATGCTCAAGCTAGAGCTGCATGCGATAGGCAAAGTGTACCCACTCCTCTGTTCTTATATTTGCACTCAAGGATTCAGGTGAAGGTATAAACTCCTGGCATACAATATTTCAAGTGGTCATTTTCCATTTGGCACTGGATAGCCCCAGACAAGAGACACACATGTTAGTTCCTTGCTTTTTGATGTCGGTATATGGAAAGAAGCCAGATCAAGAACAGGCATGGCAGTATCTGATACAACCCACTGGCATCTTATCTCTCCAAGTACTGGAATATACTCCGAGTTTCCTGAGTTGAAGTGCCATCAAGCCGTGGTCGTTTGGGAGAAGGTACGGCAGCAGTAATGGGAGCTCTTTTCTTGACCTAGAAGATGGCAAGAGCCATTAGCCAACATCATACTACATGTTTCTAGCCCATGAGAATTTTGCTGATCGTCTGCTCAGATATACCGCCCCCCCCATCGTGTGACACTGCCAAGAGCCAGAATGCTCTCCCTTCGCAAAAGCACCCCTGCCTAGGTTACACAGAGACTACTTTTCTGTGCCACAGGCAGCCATCTCTCCGCATTGGCATTGCACAACTCAAACTTGGTGCAATAGAAAAGGTATTTTACCCACAAACTACAGGAAAGTAACAAGCCTTTTAGATTATGAGAAAGTGATGTGCCAAACTGGCTTGAGCAATCTACATCACTGGGACTGGACCTCAAGCAAACAACACACCCACAGTCAGGGAGCATCTTCATAATGTGCAAAAATGGCTGGGTAGTTGCTGACAGGTAGGGGAAAAGAATTGCCTTAGTGAATTGGCAAAAAGATCCGGGGGAGCCATCATAACAGGTGTACGGAGAAACCTACAAGTGAGGTAATCACCACCAATTGCTTGTCCCCTGCAACTGATCATTATAAGCAGGATCTGACACCAAACCTATCTTAATGTTTTCATAGTGATAATGCTGTACACTGGGTTATTTCAGTTCCTCATTTTAGTTTCTTCTCCAGCTCTTTCTTCCTCTTCACACTCCTGACTATGTAACTAGCCTGTCCCATTTTTCCAGTTCCCAAATAGCATGCAGGAGCCCCGCTACAGTTAACCCACCCCTAGGCATCCCTCATGCAGGCCATCTCCAAACAGGCTTGCCGCAGCCATGTTACAGAAGGACAGAAAGAGCAGTCTCATGGTCACCCTAGGCCAGAGTCAACTATTCAGACTGAAAGCAATCCTCAGGGCTTAATGTGAAATTAATATTTAAATATAGCCTGAATAAATGACTGAACTCAAATGAATCAAATCTCTACCTGGGGTCCGGACATCTCTTTCTTCTCTTCATTTTTAATGGGTGAGAGAGTTTGGAAGACAAAATTTCTTGAATTCCTGGGAGCATTTGGGTTGAGGTCTGACATGGCTGCCAGTTTCTGCAGGACTGCCTTGGGCCTGTTCAGTAGCGATCCATTTCTCAGCTGTAAAAAGGAAGAGAGAAGGGAATCCAGTGGCATAATGTTCAGCAACATGAATGAGCATGCTGAACATTCTTTAGGCCTTCATAACAGCAGCCAGTCAAGCTGGGAAAATACATCAGGAATAGCAACTGCAAACCACTCAATATCTCAGTTTCTAAGTCTGAGGAATATGCATGTGTGAGCTGTAGTGGAGACATGTCAGGGTAACATAGAGCTGCCTTTTAACACAGATTGCAACAACTGGCCCATCTAGTCCAGCACTCTCAATTCTTCCTGGCAGCAACTTTTTGTAGGCTCCTCCTTTGAATTCTATAAGCAGGGAAGGCAGGGTTGAGCTGGAGAGCTCTATGCAAACCTACACTCCCGCACTTGTTCGAAGACAATGTGGTAATCCACACTAGCCCTTGTTGTGAGATTTGACCTCCATGACTCAAATGATGAGGCCCAGCACAACTTTTCCAAATACTCTATATAGTTGCACCTTCCATCTTTAGGCTTAATACTATAAAGCTACTAACCTGTGGGTTGCTAGCAGGCTGGAAAGTTTCAAATGGATTTCTGGGTAGAGATTTAGTTTCCTGGTCAAGTATTGAGGGGGTTGCTAAGACAACAAAAGAAAGAGAAAGATCAGAAAGACTTGGAGGGGGATGCAAAAACATTGCAGCATTTATTATGGGTTATCTGGCAATTCCCCTCCTCCTACAGCTTGTACTATGCGGAGACAGCAAGGTCTTAAAATGACTGTCACTAACAGGACCAGCCAAAGTAGAACTTGATAAATCAGACTTTGGGAGCAAGCACCAATTTGAATTCGTTTATAAGTTATATACTGCAAGGCACTCATAGCCTATTTGTTCTGAGCAAAAGTAAAAATAAAAATATCACCAGGGTTCAAAACATTTTAAATTCATCACTGCAGGTTTGATGACAGATTGGAGATACATCAGCTCTGTATTTTAACCCATCATTACCCCACCCTAACAGAACATTCTACTAGCACCCATTACGTTCCAGAAATAAAAGATGTACCTTTCTTCTGTAGAGACTTAACAGTGACTTTCTTTGCCAGTTTCATGAACTGACTGTCTTCATCAACATCTTCTTCATCCCCCTTTTCCGACTGTGAATAAGCAGAACTTCCATTAGTTCAGGCAGGTCACATTTACTACTCGATGTCATGCTTTTTAAAATAATATATTCGATTAGGGACATTCCATTTAGTATGCAGCAGCAAACCCACATTGGCTGCACAGTGTACAGCATTCTGCAAAGTACTGCAGCCAATCCTTCTCTGACAAATGATATGCATTTCAGAGTATGCATTTCACACACTAGATGGCCATGCCATCTGGAGACAATGAAAATGGGAAAGGCTAAACTGGTTACCTGTTCCCGGAGCCACTGCTCCCGTTCAAACCGTTCCTTCCTCCACTTGGCTTCCGTCTCATCAAGATGATCTTCATTCTCACCCTCATTGTCAGCATCTTTGTGAAAAAGATCCAGCTGAGAAGCATCATCTAAGAGCAAAGACAGAAAGAATAATGAGTTCCCACCACTGCAGTCAGAAATGCTCCATTTAAAGCAAAACTCTTAATGACAGAAAAACAGCATGACATGGGCAGAACCCATGAGCATCTGGACCAGTGTGCAAACTGCATATGAGCAGTGGAATTGTGATGGGAGCAGGAGGGAAGAGACAGTAGGTCTGTTGTAATAATTCTGGCGAGCCCTACATACAGTTCACAAGCAGCAGAGCTACACATGTAAAAGGAAGAAGGTCCATAAACCCAAGTCAACTACCTTTAGGCAAATCAAAGGCCATTTGGCCTAGCATTCTGCCAAATATCCCCCTACACAAAGTTACATCAGTATAATATATTATACCATTTCATTCCCTGATACTCATTCCCAATAAATTTGCAAGGAGAGCACCAAAAGATGAACACCTTTAACATCACAGTGGCTCATCTTACATGCTAGATTTCTGTTTTTAGTCCCGTTTAATTAGTGACCAAAACAGTGGTTCCACAGGCTTTGATCAGCAACTTTGTTTCCTTCCCAGTTAAAGCAAGGTCATCCGCTAATCCTGCAGCTTGCTTAGGAACCACCCTCCTAAGCATGGGAATTAGACACAAATACTCTCAAGATGTTAGAGAGAAAAGCCCACCCCACACACACACACAGGACTGTCCAATTTATGACCCACTAAGCCAAAAACTGACAGACAAGCTTGGTGGCCCAAGAAGCCTGGGCTGGGAGAGACCCTGTGGCATTCCCAATGTTGCTGGACTCCAATTTCCATTAGCTTTACCTAGCACAGCTAATGGTCAGGGATGATGGGAGATGAGTCCAACATGAACTCTGCTCGAAAACTTTATCAAACCTCCTTAAGCGTATTACCAAGCTGCACCAAAGTTATACATGGCCAATGGACAGCATTCAGACTGGTGGGTCATCAGCGACTAGGCCTGCTCTATCACACCAGTGTGATACCTATGTTCTTCCATCTGAACCTCCTCATTCGCCCAGGGCCATCACTGTGCAGGTCTCCGTCGGCAAGGTATCTCTCCTGATACAAGCGCAGCTGCCGCTTGTCATCATCCAGCATCACCTTCCTAAAGAGAAACCATGTAAGGAAAGGGAGCTTAAACGGATCATCATTCAGCAGTGAGGGGCACTTCCAAGAAAGCACAGCTGCAACCGTTAAGTGCACATGGTACTGGATCTGTAGCCACTGACCTGTGTATTTTGTTGACTTGATCTTGGAGCTCCACATCAGTAGGGAGGACCTCATCAAGAATTTCTTCTTCATACTCATCAAGTTCCTCGCCATCATACTCATCCTCACTTCCCACATCACTTCCTGATAGCTCAGCCTCCTCTTCCATGAATTCCTGCAGCTTGCTGAGATTCACAGGAATGGGGTGGGGGGAAGGGTTACAGGTTGAATTCTAATGAAGTTGAGGAGCTACTGCTCACTATAGCAAACTAAGGATTCATCCTGCCCAGAAATGCCAGCAAGTGGCTGGCAGGAAAACTCACAGCTAGTGCTCCAGAGTACAAGCAGAGACTGTCTTTCTGCTGGAGCCTCGCCTGGGGCCTCCTACAGGAACAGCACATGATTAAATCACTGAACTACACTGTTGCGGAGGAGGGAAAGTCTTCCACAGATATGCCACAATATGGGGAATCCTGTGCACAAAGGTACCCAACTATATCTCCACATATTGAGGATTTTATGCCAATATTATGCCAAACATGCAAATGAATTCACAAACATCATAAGCTATGATCCTTTGGTTGAAACACCAACTCTCACAGCATAAATTTTAATAGAATTCCCAAGATGGCTTCTGGAAATACTTTTTCTGCCACCAGCATCCAAGCTGACCCTTTCTGTCTTGTTTTAGTTAGCTCCAGTTACTGAATTAACACAGCTTAGAGCTCAATAGCAGGCTCTTTGCCAGTAAATGCGACCATGATTTACATACAGTTTCCTCTTCCGTCCTTCTCTTTGTCTTAGCACTTCTTCTTCATCGTCAACTTCCAATTCATCTTCACTCTCTTCTTCCTCAAGCTCATTCTCTTCCTCCTCCTCCTCTTTGCTCTCTTTATCCTGACAATTTGTTAAATTTTGAATTCAGAAATTCCCACAGTATCTTATTGTACCCTTTATTTCTCTTCAGTGTGCTTTTAGTTAAGTAAAATTTTCTGCAAATAGAAAATGCCTTACTGGACACAACTAGGGAAAGAGTAAAAAGAGCACTGCTAATATAATGTTCTTATACCAGAGATGAGGAATCTGATAAGTTTCAAGAGGAGACTGGGCTCTCATTCTCTCATGGAGGAGAGCCAGGCTGCCAGTGACTACCTGTCCTGATGGCTACAGTGCCTTGTAAAAGTATTCATCCCCCACCAACTCTGACATTTCCACATTTTGTTGTGTTACAACCTGGAACAGAGATGGATTTAACTGGCATTGCTATCACTTGATTTACACAAACTACTCAGCACTGTGAAGGCACCTGCTGATTGTATAAGTATTCACAACCCTGGGTCGATACCTGACAGCAGCACTGTTGGCAGCAATTACAGCAATTGTCCTGCTGGCAAGTCAACCTCCACCCCAGTCCCAGATCCCTTGCAGATTGAAACAGGTTTTTCTTTCAAATTGCCCTGTAATGGGCAACTATCGGTCTAAGATTCCACTTTGGGACAAGGCATCAGAGTGTGTGGGAGCCTCCCAACTCCAGGGATTCCCGGATGAAACCAAATATCTAGATACATTTCGGTCTGTTTTCAGACATGGTTATGGGACCGAAACAGCTTCGGTTACCTTGGTGAATGACCTATGCCAGGAACTAGACACGGGGAGCGTGCATGTTGTTTCTGCTCATGTTGTCTCAGTGGTTTTTGATACCTGTGACCAAGGTATCCTTCTTGGCTGTCTTGCTGGACGGGAACTGGAGGAAGTGTCTTATAGCGGCTCCATTATTTCTTGGAGGGACAGATTCAGAAGGTGGCCCTGGGGAATGCCTGTTCAACTCCGCGGCCACTGACCTATAGAGTTCTCTCAGGGTTCTGCACTGGTATTTGTGCTATGTAACATATACATGAAACTACTGGAGAAGTTGTCCAGAGTTTGGGGGTTTGGTGTCACAAGTATCCAACTATATTTCTCCTTTCTATCTTGCACCAGTCCCAGAGAGGTCCGCCTGGCGCCGTCGTTATTTGTTTTTCGGCGCCAGGCTAAGACCTTTTTATTTAAGCAACATTTTAAATGCTAAATACAATTGAATTTTATCTGGACAGGGCGGCTTATTTTATAATGTGAGTTTTAATTAAGATTATTTTATATGGATTTTAACTTGTTTTATCTATGTTGTAAGCCGCCCCGAGGCTTCGGCGAATGGGGCGGCATAAAAATGTTTTAATAAATAATAAATAAATAAATAAATCAGTGTCTTTCGGCCACAGTGGACTAGATGAGGGCAAACAAACTGAAGCCAGACAAGACAGAGGTGTTCCTGGTCTGTCAGGAAGTGGACCAGGGAATGGTGATTCAGCTTGTGCTAGATGCAGTTACACTCCCCTGGGGCCACGTGTCTGCAGCGTGGGTGTACTTCTGGATTCAATACTGAGTCTGAATGCCTGGGTGCCTTTGCAGTTAAAGCTAGTGTGCCAGCAGCACCTGTTCCTTGAGCTGTCATTGCTCGTGGTGACAAATGTGCTCTATGTGGGGCTCCCTCAGGAACATCATCTGTTTCAGGGAGCTGCTGCCAAACTGCTGACTGGGGCTGGCTCCAGGGAGCGTACAACTCCCCTGCTGAAAGAGCTTCATCGGCTCCCAATCTGTTTCAAAGCGCTGGTGATGGTGACCTAAAGACCTCTACAACTTGGGTCCAGGCTATCCCTTGGTCCCACCACCCTCACAGGCATGCTTGATGGAACACGGAAAAGGCCTTCTTGGTGGCTGCTAGGAATACCCTTCCTAAGGAGACCAGGTTGGTACCTTCCTTGCTATGGCTCTGTAAACAGACTTTTTCTTCCAGCAGGCATTTGGGAATACCCTGGGAGCTTGCCCTAGGTTAATGTTACCATTTATATTTTGTAGTGCTTTTAAGCTATGTACTATTTAGTTTTGAGCCGGCTGGTGCCGGAGGTCAGACTAGATGGCCTGGGAGGCCCCTTCTGACTCGCTCTGTTTTCTATGTTTCTATGTAATTGATTTAATTGTATTTTTAGCTTTCATATGCTTTTGAAAGTTTGACCAGATAATCCTTTTCTAGACTTGTTCTGTGTCTCCCCCATGCCTTTTTGTAAGCTTCAGCGATGGCTTTCCTCTTGCCACTCATCCACAAAGTCCAGCTTTGTGGAGTGGCTGGATGATAGTTGTCCCAATGACAGTTTTTCCCTTCTCAGCTACAGACCTCTCCAGTTCTTCAGGCTTACCACTGTCCTCTTAATTGCTTATTTGATTCATGTCCTGCTTACTTGGTCACTGAGTCTGGGTTGATGGCCTTCTCTAGGCAGAGTCATGGTTGAGCTATATTATTTCCATTTTGTAATAAAGGTTTTAATGGTGCTTTGGGGGATACTGTAAGTTTGGAATTTTTAATAATTAATAACCAAACCTTGATTGGTGTTTCTGTACAACTTGATCCCGGTGCTATTTTGATAGTATCATAAGATCAAGCGGCTATTTGTTTAGATGTGTCCTTCAACAAAATCTGGAGCTTTCCACAAACAGCTGTTCCGAATCTGAAATTGTGCAGCATTGGAATTGTACACAGGCGGCCTCGATTCAACTGTCATACTTCCACTGGGCGACTTCTGGAGGCAGTGGGTTACAGCACAGCTTATTTTAGTCATGTCTCAACAGAGTGGAGGAATACTTAGGCAATTAGATGCTTAGCCACTTAACGCCATTTGAAATTCACATTGTAACACAACAAAATGTGGAAATGTCAAAAGGGATGCATCCATCTACAAAGAACACTTTGCAGTCTCATGGACAGGGCACTTCTCTATAGAAAAACACCAGGAAGTTACACATCAGCTATCAGCTTCCCAGACACCAACGCAGGTATCAGGCAGTATAAACAGGAGCCTGGACTAAATTGGCCTTTGGTCAAGCTTTTGTGTCCCTAACATCTAGAAGAACTATGTCTACATTAAGATTGCTTGTGAGCCTAGAAAACCTACAGAATATGTGCAAAATACAGCTTCATGAGAGGTATCATTTAAAGAGAAAAAAGAAACAAGTTTCTTGGGCTGGTTGCAAAAACAGGTATGGAAGAACACAGAAATCTGCTGAAAGAAGGTAGGGAGTGTGGGAATTGGCAGATGAACAAGATCAAGTATTTAGGGGCAGGGTTTCAGTGTCCCATATATCACTCCCCATGACTAGGAAAAGCATAATAAATTATGTAAAATAAGAGGCAATGTGAACGTGTTTGATATTCACTCTGCAGAAGAGAGTTTTTTTGCAATGTCGTTTTACCCTGGGCAATGCAAAAATTTTACCAATTAGCTTCTGACATTCCCCAGACCTGACCAGTATAGAAGAACTTGAACTGACTAGTTCAAAAAAGCATTGATACACTCGGTCAAGTTTTGGGATGCAAGGCTTTGGTTGATATGCATGCTGGGTGTTTGATTCCGGAGAAACTGTAATTATGCTTGGAACTCACATCATCTTCACTATCAAAGGCATGATCATCCGTCAAGAGCTGGAAGTCTCCGAGCTCTTCCTCCTCTTCATCTTCCACTTCCCTGCAAGAAAGAGAACTTTTAAGGTGAAGACAAAAACATTCTTACTTAACACCTGGGCTATAACTGCATGAACAGGATGTCTCATTGAATTAGCCATGGCAGAACATGATCAACAAGACAAGTCATGCCAGAGCACCTTAGAGGCAGACATGTTTATCAGGATGGTCTCTCTCTAAGATGCCACAGTACTCAACAGTTTTTTGTGTAGCCATAGCTAACCTGGAATTCACCTTGGTGGAAAGAGGAATAAGGCAAGGCAGACAAAGAATTCATTTTACCCAAAGAGCTTTGATAGTCGGATGTAATGAAGTCTAGCCTGATAAAAGGTAGTCAGCTCAGTTTAGAACCTGAAGCCTGCAACGTGGACACATAAGCAGTCATCCTCGTATAACCCCAATGGGAGGAACAACTCTGTATGTACTCTCCTTTGCTAAAGCAAAGAACTGGGAATTATGCACACCTCCAGTGCCTGAGTGTCTCACCTGTCAGACGGAAAGGAGCCAGAACAAAGAGCTAGTGCCTCAGCCATTGGATCTTCAGGGCTGCACTCTTTTTCCAGTTTGGAGACTGCTGAAGACGCTTGAATGGGAGAATCTGAGAAAGCAGCCAGAATGTAAAGATCACTCAAGTAGACCCCTATGGGCAGAATACAGCCTGTCCCAGGTAGAACATTCTTGTCTCTCCAATACTTGAAGTGACATGATAACAATAGTGGGGCAGCAACAATAACAACTTTGGCAGCAATTCATGCTAATTTAGCAAAGAGGGAGAGAGATTCAAATTTGAATGTGGGAAAGCTGCAAAGTTAGCACCTTTTTCAGCTGAACCAGTTGAAAAAGTACAACTGGTAACACCATCCTGGCCCATTAACCGCTTTTACCTCCATCCTTTTACCCAAGACTAAACACAGCCTTGCCAATTAGACTTTACACTTATACAACACCATTGGAAACCAATTCCTCCTTCCCCTGTGATTAAAGCTGTGCAAAACTAAGCAGACAGGTGAAACATGGGGGCAACCCAGTCAATCAGGACCAGAATCAAACTGGTCCATGAGGCAATTCTAGTTATCAACCAGGATTACTGGATAATTGTTGGAGCTGCAGTTATCATAGTCAATTGGGTATAACAACACACAAACCAAAACTAGATCTAGCCCATGATGACCCATGCCTTAGTAACGTCACAACTTGATTCCTACAATGGGCTCAAGACTGAGCAGTGTTTGCAAACTTCAGCTGGTCTAGAATGTTGCAGCCAGAATGTTAATAGGAACATGCAAATTCCTTATACAGCTGCGTTTGTTTCTGAACGCAAGTCAGCGTGTACTTATGTTCATTCAAAGACTAGGAAATGTGAGGGACCGCATCCTCCCACCATACGTCTGCTCAGTCGTTACGATCTCCTTAAGCAGCTTTCCTTCATATTCCACCAAGAGTTGAACTATACTTAGTTGAAATGTGGGTGAGGACCGCCTTCTCTAAAGCTGTGATTGTGCTGTGTAACTTCCTTCCTAGGGAGCCATTTCTTGACCCCCCTCAATAAGAAGAGCTCTGCTGAATCAAACCAACAGTCTATCTAATCCTAACCTGTCCTGACTCATCAATGTCATAGGATGATCCTGGATTCTAGCATTTTGAAGAAAGAAGGGAGACTTCTCCCCATCCACTTTCTCCATATCATAATAATTTTGTACATGTCTCTCATTAGTTAATAAAAAGCTGACTATTGTAAGACTAAAAAGTCCCAGACATTACATTTCCTCACTGGGGAGCTGTTCCAGCCCCTTGAACATGTTCGTAGCCCTCTCCTGTACCTTTGTCTACTCTACAATACTCTTTTTAGGTGTGATGACCAGGACTAAACAGTATTTCATGACTGATTGTGCCATACACTTTTGGCAATATCATATTTTATACCATCAGATAAGCATGAAAACATCTCCCTCTGTGAAATATTAAACCTGTTTAAGTTTTTTGTTTATACAAATCATTTTAATGAAATTGCTTTTTCATCTGTTTTAATCTACTGTTTTATTATTATATGTTGACTATGCTATAAGCTGTGGTGGGCATTGTGTAAATGGAAAGGCAGGGTTAAAATGATAGAAATAGCTATTTAAAAACTTACTTATTAGAATTAGGTACCTACTAGCTTCTTTTCCCTTGTTCTGCCTGCAAGCATTTTGATTTTAAACAACATATTCTAGACGTGGAATTTACCACTAAGTCTACTGGTGATGCAAGGCACAACTCCCATTCACATACCCAAACCTAGGTCTCTCTTGCCATCAAGAGTAAGCTTCAGGACTCACCCTGAGATGCAAACTTTCCAGAGCAAAGGCCAAGCAGCTCCTCCATGTTTGGCTTCTTGCCACTGTAAGTGTCAGGAGGGCGTTTATCCTGAGAAGCAAACTGGCCTGAACACAGATCTAGCAGTTCATCCATATTGGCATCCATTGCATTCTCGTCCATGCTGGCCAATAGCAGGCGACCCTTGGATGCCTGATATTTGCTCCGGGGATGGCCGACATTCAAAAACCTAAAAGCAAATGTCATGACCAGCTTTGATAAAAGGTTTATTGCCAGAGATGGTCTGACAAGCAGCACAGCATAAAACACAGATCTTCAGGATAGACAGGCGAACAGCTTCCTGCAAGACTGCACGCAAACATAGGATAAATGCCACTGCCATTCTACTTTAGCACTTACTCTGGCCGTGTCTACTTTAGATCATTCTCATTTATTTAACTTAAATTTAATTCTGCCATCATTGTGCACAGCATGGAAAGAGAAGTAAGGGGGAGGTAGAGAAGAAAGTAAATAAGAAATAAATATAGCTGCAGGCATTGCAGCTACAGAGGCCTTGACCTGGTAGTAGGGCGTAGAGAACTAACGGGCCAAGCAAAATTTTTAATGATAGGCTTTGGGAGAGGATTTGAAATAACGGTGGCAAACCCATGATCAGGAGGCAGAACCAAGCTTACCTGGTAGCCTTGAGAAAGGGAGACCTTGTTGGATGCCTGACAGTAGTAGCATGGAAAGGACTCCTCTGCCCCTCAGCATTCAGTTGGCAGCAGTTGAGGGAGAGAGCCACTCCGTCAGTCCTCCAGAGAGGTCAGTTCTCACTGCATGTTCCTTTTCTGCTGCATCATGTCCTATCAATTCTAAGCTTGTGAGCACAGACTGCCTTGTTTAACTGAACTTAAGATCAATAAATCATCTACAGAGGTGTGGTGCAATGATTAGAATGCTGGACAGGGCACTTGGGGGATCTGGTTTCTAAACCCACTTGGCCATGGAGCTCACAGGGTGACTTTGGGCCCATCACTCTCAGCAAAGGGTTGCTGTGGCAAGGATAAAACAGCTGTGTAAGCCACTTCGTGTTCCTTGCAGGATATAAATGCAGTGTAATAAATAAAGAATAGGATAAAAGCATTGCAAACAAATATTAGGATACAAGAGCAGAGAGATTGGGCAAGTGCTGGTGAGCAAGAGAATCCGTTTTTCTGGCTACATACCCATCTGCATCAAGCAGTTGACTTTGAGTGTCATCTTCTATAAACTGGAACTTCCCAGGTGTTGGAACTGGGCTTTTCTCTTCTGGTGTAGCATTGTAGAGATCCTGGGAATCCTCTATGGGTAAAGAAGGCTCAGATGCCTTTCCTGAGCTCTAAGATTCCAAACCAAACACAGATGGGTGAAGCATTGATTAGAAAGCAAGCCTTCACCAAACATAAGCCAAATTCAGACTGGGAGGTGGAAAGGAAAGGAGAAGAGAAAGGCAAGGAAGACTAGAATTCTGCAATTTATAAACTGAAAGTCTTCAAATGTCAAATAAATCATAATGTATACACAAAAATCAATTTTCAGAATGAATAGAATTTCTAGGCACAGGAAGTAAAAAAAAAGTTGCTACATGTGCTTTTGAAGGTGAATGACATAAATAGCAGTGCAGGTCACAGGGTCCAATTAGTGATATCAACTTATCCAAAGGAATTGCAAAGGAAAAGAATGAATAGGCATTATTGTATGGTACTAAATAGATAATAATATAGCATTGAGAACAGTTCAGAAAGAGAGTCTTTTCATATCAAGCAGAAAAGTATTAACCAGATGTATGCAGAACATTATAAAAGCTTAATTGCAAGAGAGTATGTTTCTAACCACCCTAAATAAACAGTTATAATGCTACTCCTTAAAAACCCCTCTCTGAATTATCAAGATTATTCCACCTACAGGCAGTCCCCAAGTTATGAGTGCCCGAGCTGCAGACCTGTACTTACAAACAAATGGCCATAAAGCCTATTAATTTAAAATATATTGCAGAAAATCACCATAACCACAGAGAGGGAGCAAGGGCCTCCAAAACATTACCATAGAGAAAGAGGAAGCAAATGGGGAGAGAAGGAGGCCTCCAAAGCATATCTTCCTGGCCCACCCATCTGGAGAGGAAAATTGCTGTGGCACTTCCTTGCTGCAAAGGGGAGACTGGGCGATGGACTAAAGATATTTGTGTTTTTGCCATTCTCACAGGGGTCTTGCACCCCTATGAATATGGAAGGCCAACCATATGTGGGCTGACTATATGTGATCCGACTTACATACAAATCCAACTTAAATAATTTCTGTTTTCTCAGGAATGGAACTCATTCAGGATACCTGAAGGAACGTCTCCTTCTCTCCATGCCCTTATGCCCCGTAAGATTGGCAGGAGAGGCCTTGCTCCGGAAACCCTCTTTGAAGGAGATACGAAGGGTGTCTACCCAGAGGAGGGCCTTCTCTGCGGTGGCACCCAGACTATGAAATGCGCTCCCCAGAGAGGTTCACCTGGTGGAGACTTCATACTCTTTTCAGCACCAGGTAAAGATCTTTTTATTTAGCCATAATTAAGTATTTTAGATGTTTTAAGATCTGATCAGTCACATTTTCTTTTTTCTTCCTTTTCTTTAGTTTTATCAAAGTGTTTGTTCTATGATTCCCTATTATCTATTGTTTTAATTATGGTACTATTGTATTATTATACCACTATTTTAATCATTGTGAGCCATCCTGAGATGTTTTATCGGGAAGGACAGGATAAAAATGTTTTAAAGAAATAAATAAGTAACTGGGGGCTGCCTGTATCAGCAGGATGCAGCCATAGCCACTTAGGCAAGATACTTGTACGGATGGTTGATGTACACGTACACCTAGAACACTGCTGTCATCCATTTGAACATGGTCCTTGCCCCAGTTCTGACACTGAACCACAGCAGCCACCCTGTAGGATGACTGGGCCGTGCAAATGACAAGGAGAGGGCAACCCTATTAATGCTCCTGGAATTTGTGGCAGCTGTTGATGCCATCCACATGGTGTCCTCCTGAACAGTTAGGAAGAATATGTTTAGGCTGTACTTTTTTCAGGTATGATAAACAGTCCATGCAAAATGCAAACTTCATGAACACTTACTATTCACCACAGCTAAAGCATTTTCTATGTTCTGTGTCAAAATTGAAAGACACTCAATGTATAATCAACACAATATAAAAAGCAATAGGGAAGAAGAAAACGGCAGAATTCAAGCATTAATTTTCTTGAAATACAAGCTGTTGCATATCCTTTCTTCCATCAACTGGCCAGTATTTCAAAGATCTCAAAACTGCGAAAGACCAAAGCTTACCTTGGACGTAGAGCTGATAAAGCTTGTTTTGAAGAACCCAGGAGAAGGAGAACGGACAGCTCCAAGGGCAGGGAAAAAGTTGTTCCCACGTGCCACTTGTCTGTTCCAAGGTTGATAGGAGGGAATCATGGAACTGACCAACTCAAAGCTGCTATTGTGGCTGTTTTCCTTTGCCAAGTTTGGCATTAAAAATGAATCTTCGTCTTCTAAGGAAATGAAAAGGGAAACAGAAAACTCAAAATGGCTTTAAAGGAACAGAAGGAAAGTGAAGCACCAGGTATTTTTTGGAGGGGGGGTGCTCCCTTTTGGTTGCTACTTGTTTGTTTACAATTTGTACTTCTTCGTATTTTGGGGTTTACTCTAGCACCCCAATACTTTCTTCTTTTTGTTGTTGTTCAGTGATTTCATTTTGGTTTCAATTCTGCCAGCACTCAACTATCTAAGTTCATTATTAGAAGGAGTTAGGTTATACTGAACAAAGCACACTCATTCACTCCACACTGTTTGTCAAATGCAAACAAAAAAAACGTTGATATGGTGATAATTGTGGGGATAATCTTTTCAGCCCTGTGAGAAAGGTAGACTCTGACACGGAGTATGAAGCAAAATCTATTCTTAATGCCTCAATGAAAGAGATATATTTTAAAGCAAAGGTATGAATGTATCTCATAAAATACCCTATTTCCAATAATGCCTCACAAGGACTGGTTTTGTTGAAACAGAAACCACCAGTCATGCCAAATATTTCCAGTATTGCCTAGAAATTACTCAAAATACTTGAGAAGAACAAGCCCTGTATCAGGCACAAATCCTCAAGTAAGATGCAATAGCATCAGCCCTCTTCAAATTCAAGCTCTTCTGTAACTCAGAACCAGCTGCCTCCAGTGCCGTATTCCACCCAGCTACCATGTCCTGTATGGGATACTCCAAGGCCCATCTCCTATGCACACAGCTCTTTTCCACATACCACTTCATCTACAGCCCATGTAGATCTGACATTCCAGTAGTTGGAGATTTTCAACTTCACTTTTGCCAATAGCAAATTCAAAGAAACATGAACCAAGATTATTAAAACATGGCAGCCCATGGGCAAGATCTGCTCCAGAAATGGTTTCCCTAGAGGCCTTCCAAAACTATGGTAAAAGGTTTACCTAGGGTTACACTCAAAATGAAAAGAGCAATTAAGACATATAGTGCACAAGTTGATGTTGTATTTTTGTAACATACATAAAGTAGTTCAACAGAAACTTCTTAACATGGGTTGTATTGTTCAACGTGCAGAAGACAGACAGACAAGATGGCATACGGTAACCAGAAATGGCAAATGTTTTACCTGGCTTGTCTGGTCTTTTGGCCATGGCTTCTTCCATCTCAGGCTTTTCACCTGGAAGAGAATACCTGCAACAAACAGTTTTAGCCTAAATTTTGGATAATATTAAAAAGATATTAAGAAGCAAACTTTAAGTAGCAGTATGCAGGAGTGTAGAGAAATGAACGTAAAATATTGTTTGTCAAGGCACTGTTGGCACTACTAAAGACATTACAAGAAATATTTTGCAGTACCTCACTGTACCTGTATTAGCAGTGTTAAGGTATGAAGTTGGATTTTTTTAATAGTATCTTGAGTTTATATTGCTTCAGTCATTTTTTAGAGCACATGCCAGAAACAAGGTTGCTCAAAATTGATATTTGGAGCAGGTTTCCAATAGACTTATTCATACTTGGGCAAATAAATGTGAAACCCTTTAAGTATGTGTTTTTTCCGATACCCTTAAAGGCTGCTACTCCTAGAGAAAATGGAATATTTTAAAAAGTGAAAGCATGAAGTCCCTTGCTAACTTGATGGCATCTTCAAATTATGCACTTATTTTACTATGTTGCTAAACATCTGATTTTGGCCTATCAAATTATTTTTTGACGTTAGCTGATGGTTTGCTAAGGAAAGTATTTATTGACTTTAGATTGTAAACCATGTCTCCAAACATATTTTGAAGAGAGGTATGCTGAAATATCCACAAATTGCCTAGTATGTCTTTGTGATCTGAAAGAGGTGGAAGACATTGTCCATGATGTATTGTGATCTGTAGAACTCCCCTTAGGAATGGTTTTTGACACAGGTCCTTGGGAATTTTTTGGAAAACAGGAAGGTGTTTAATTACCTATTGGGCATTAGGGACATAGCTATCAGAAAGCTATCAGTGTTCGCCCTTGCCACCCAATGGATTGGATGCAAAGTTATTCTGCTAGAGACCACCAAAGTTAAAAGGTATCTTTCAGTTTGATTATGTTCAGGAAGATCTAGAGCATACCCTGTTTTTGAAGAATTATCTTTGAAAAGCAGCAGTGTTGACTCTGTAGATGAAGGCTTCAGAAAAGCACTGCAGTGCACTGACTTGGCCACTCCATCCTCATCAGCTGATTCTTTGTCAGTTTCTTTGTCGCTATCTTCGTGACCCTGCTCATCCAGCTCCTCATTATCTTCCTCTGCCTCTCCGAGAAGATATTCTGTGCTCTAATGAAACACATGCATATATAACAAATTCTACAGTAAAAGACATGTAGTGGGAGGGCACGGGTGCAAGTTGCAAACCCAGCTGCACCATCCTCAATTTTCTCCCCTGGCTTGTCTCACTCTGCACCTTACGATAGTCAGGCAGCAGAGCACCTAAAAACTGTGGATACTGCAAAGACGACCCTAAGGAAAAAAGAACTCTCCATCCTGTGCCATTCACAGCTAACCTCTTAACTCTTCCACCTCTTTGTGACAGAGCTGCTCACCTGGGTTGCTGATTATGCAGGGCACAACCCATGCTCCTCACGGTGTGGCTGGTGTGCAGTATAAAGTGAGGCACCGTTGGAGGTGGCACTTTAGGACCTGAATTTCTGTACTTGTCCCCTTCTTCTTAGAGCAAATTGCTTCAGGATGCATTGGGACTGTGCTGAGTATGGGGAAGAGGGTGCACACAAGGTTTCTAGCCGTAAAACTGTATTCCTAGCCAATAGCTGGGTATACAAGGCAAGAACCTACATTTCAATGTCTCCTTCTGGGCAGCTGAAGCCTTTAGGGCACTTACACTGTGTGTTTTTGTTTCAATTAAGTTAATCTTTGGCAAGAGGCCAGCATTAAATATGACAGAAATTTGCAATACTCTTAGTTCCTAGATAATTTATGAAGAGTCAGCAGCATACTTAAACTTGCCAAAGTAGCAAAAAAGAGATAAAAGGGAAGACCTCTTGATTGTATTCTTCCTCCTCAGACTCATCTGTCATCTCCTCCTCCTCCTCCTCCTCCTCCATCATCTCCTCATTATCCAGTTTAAACAGTGCTTGCCGCCTCTGGCGTTCCTCTGTCCTGCGGAGTTTCATGGCTTCCTGCAGTTTAGCCTTCAGCATGAGCAACTTTTCACCTGGGCAGCCAGAAGTAGCATGATCAGACACACATTTTTAACACACGCATTTCATTGCCTCAAGCCAACCTTTTAATGAAGTCATACACAATTAGCTTAAAAAGCCATAATAAGCTCATTTGAAAGTTTCATGAACTGATATGCTAACTGAAAGAGCCAGGCCGCCTGGTTAGAATAAGCTGAATTTGCAGTGCTACATCAGTGAAGCTGACTCCAGGCTTACTACTCTTTGCCAGGGAGGCTCAGCAGCTGCATTCTCAGGGTTATTCCACTCTCCAAACATGGAGAAAAATATACAAAGTGGTGCAGGGAAACAGGAGATTTTCAATTGCCGTTCAAGGCACAAATAAACACATTACAAAATACAATTTATGATGAAATGTATTGTACAGGATATGCAATTAATGATGGTAATCAATATTCATTTTATAACATCAGGAAGGTATTGTCCATTTCTCTGTACACATTCTGACAGCTTGTTGTGGAAATTCTGTATTGCTCAACATAACTCGTCAAGAGGAATGCCAGTGGTTTCCTGTTCAGTCCTCCTTTTTAGTTCAACAATGGTTGCAGGATATGTGCAGTACACTTGGCTTTTAAGATATCCCCACAGAAAAAAAATCAGACAGTGAGATCTGGGAATCTCGGAGGCCATGGAATGTCACCATTGTGTGAAATGATGAGCCTTCCAAACAATTTTTGAATAGCTGCCATTGATTGCCTGGCAGTATGCAAAGTGGCTCCATCCTGTTGAAACCACATTTTCAATATTCGGATGTGTGAAGTTTTGCAAACTGCACAAAAAATGTTTCAAGCATAGCAACACACCAATTGGATGTAACTGTGGTTGCAATGCCCTCCACATTTTCAAAGAAGTAAGGGCCTATGACACCATGCAATGACACTGCACACCATACTATATCCTTAACACTGTGTAACAGATGCTGGTAAAGCTCAAAAGGATTTTCCTGTGCCCAGTAACAGAAATTCTGTTTGTTAACATATCCATTAAGGTGAAAATGGGCTTCGTCTGAAATCCAAAAGCTGTGATTGAAATTGGCGTCCTCCTTTACTTTAGCCAGCAATTGTTCACAAAACTGTTGACATAACACATGGCCATTGGGCTCAAGTTCCTGCTCAATCTGCAATTTGTAGAGATGGAACTTCAACTCATGCCTTTTCCCCCCTTGTAGTGATGATGTGTGCTGTTAAGCAGAGTGGCAAGGGCTCCTCATGATGGCAGCTCGAACACCCTCAATATTCTCTGGTATGTGAGCCATTCAAACACCACCTGGGGTCTTCTTTTTTAAGGCTGAACCCGTTTCCTTGAAATTACGCACCCATGTTGTAATCACATGAGCAGATGGGACATTATAGAAACATAGAAACAGAGCAAGTCAGAAGGGGTCTCCCGGGTCATCTAGTCTGACCTCCGGCACCAGCCGGCTCCGCTCATGACATGCCCACCAAGGACCTTTTCCCCATCCTCGTGAGGTGTAACCCATCCCTTGCCAGAAGTCCACTGGCAAGAAAACGAGTGCTGTGTTTGAGGAACCAGAAGCGTTCCTTCTGGCACCACACCCTAAACCAGTTGTTCACCTCGGGGGCCCTCCTGTCCCTTCCTGGCCCAAATCCCCGGAAAGGTAAGATTGACGAGAAGGCCACTTGGGCCTTCAGCTCCCTGAGTTTCTTCCCCAAGGCCTCAAAGTCCCTGGTGGTCCCAACCACACCCTGCCTGGCCACATCGTTTGTGCCCACATGGATCACCAGGAGCGGCTGGTGACCCCCGGAGCGAACAAGATGCTCCACTCTGTCCTTCACGTGCTGGATGCGTGTGCCCGGCAGGCAGCAAACCTCCCTTGTCTGCAGGTTGAGGCGGCGGTGTGCCCGTCAGCAGGGAGTCCCCAACAACAATCACCCGCCGCCATACCTTTCTGGTGCTGGTGGGCAGCCGTGCCCTGGCCCTCGCCTCTCCCGCAGCGGCCCCCTTGCCGCCTGACGTCCCAGGCTGGGGGTCCTGCTGGTCCCCCGAGGCCACATCATCCCCAGCCTCCCCAAGTGGAGAGAACCTGTTTCCCAGCTCCAGATTGGTGCCAGGAGAAGGAGGAGGCCGTGCTGGCCTCCTCCTCCTGTGGGTGACATACCTCCATGTCTCCGCAGCTGCTCCTCCCGTGGCCTCTCCCTCAACCCTCTGTCCAGAGTGGGGCTGTTTCAGGGTGCCTGGAGAGCTCTCTCGGCCCTCAGGCACCTCACCTCCTCTTCTAGCAGGGTCACCATTTTGCACGGAGGGCAAGTGTATCCCTGCCTCTCCTGGGGAAGAAGGGTGAACATGTCGCAGCTCTCGCAGCAGCAGCAACACCCGTGACTCCTGCCAAGGCCACCTCCTGGCCTGCCATCGGGATCCCTTCCAAGACCTTACCTTGGTCCCCTGCCTTGTTTGTCCTGCAGTTCCTCTCACTCGCCCAGTTCTCCCAGACAAAAACCCACTCGCACACACACAAGGATAAAATAAACTTAAATTGGAAGAAAAACAAAGCACAGCACAGCACAAACAAAAGCAAGCAAGCAAGCAAACCTCTGTGTCTCAGGGAAGGGAGTCTCTGGACAGTCCAGGCCGCAGCCAAGGGATGCAGACAAGGGATGACGCCTTATCAGTCCCTCCGGCCGGTGGCCCCGCCCCTTGCTCCCTCCCAGCCCCTCTGGCCCTGCCCCCTTCCTCTCCGCTGCTCCTGGCCCCCTGCTCCCCTGCCCAGCCCCTGCCTTGCCTTCGCCAGCCCCCTGGCCACTCAGCCTCTCTCCCAGCCTCTGCTTATCACGATGTCCTGGCTGGCAATGATGCCGACATTCCCTTTGCACAGCAATCACGCAATCAGCATTCTTATAACAGGCTTTTACAGCAAACGCTCATTGTGCACCACTCCACTGCTCCATCATAACTAATGGCAAGGGGTTCTAAATGAGGCCGCACTGGTTCCAAGCAAGTGCCGAAGCCCCAGGGCTGCCAACTCATAGTTCCAAAATTTCCCGTTTCCCTGCACCACCCTGTACTTTTCAACTCATATTAAATAGTCAGCCCTGCTTTGTGAATGAGAAGACCCCCATGATAGCAGGTTTCATCTAGTATTTAAGAATATGACAGTGACTGAACACTGCACTTAGCCTGGGTATTACATCTCCCCTTCGGATTTTGAATCTAAGAGGAAGAACGCAACTTCCCTCTACCCCTTAATGAGTAGGAAAAAAGAACACCCATCCTTATAAATGGAACAGCAGGTAAAAACTTGATTACCTTTGGATTAAAATTTGTCAGGGCCATTAGGAGTCAGAAAAAGTTACTTCAAAGCAGGGCTGAATTATTATTTATGAAGCACCCTGAATACGAATCAGGACTTGGCCAAGGCTCATCCGTGACATTGGCAGGGCTCACAGCTGGGCCTTTCTTCCTCTTTTTATTCCTTCTGAAGACATTAGAGCAAGTCCTTGCTCTAGGGCCATGGTAACAAGACAGAGAAATGAAGCTCATCGACTACTGACAAGCTGAGACAAATGTTCTAAATGAATCAGAACCTGTTTAGTTTCGATACTCAATTGTGCATTTGAAGTGCACACAAATAGCTTCTATTTTTATTCAGAAGCTCAAAGGATGCAGATAGTTAGGAAACCTTCAAGATCACAACAAACAAAACAAGTAACTCACAGCAACTCAAAGATCTCCTACCACCCTTTTAAGGTGCTTGTCATCAGCAGTTTGAGTACTTGTTTTGAAGGGGGGTATTTCTTAAAGTAAAAGGTTGCTGTCCAGATTCAGGAGTACCTTTTTAGTGCATCAAAATTGTTTGTGATTCATCTATATGATCCAGTGTTACAGTGTTGTTTGTGACAAGCATCACAGTGCTGATGCCATCGAGTCGCGCATGCACCTGTGCTCCCCCCGCCCCAGCACACCTGGCTTCGTGTGGACTGCCTCTTCTACAACCGTTGCAGCCAGAGTCACTGGAACCACATCTGCCTTCAGCTCCTCTTTGCCCTCATTGGTCATCTCCTTACGAATAATATTCAAGTTCACCATTTGTTCAGTCTTTGGTTTGACTGTATGAATTGTATGCTTCACAAAGCGTTCCTTCAAAGCTTCCAGTTCTGTTTTTGGGTTGTTTTTGGAAGAGAAAAAAAATACTATAATCACTCATTTGTGCATTATTTTTAAATTTTTCATTTCTAAAAAAGGCAATTTTCTCAAGTTGCCTATGTTTATCTTAAACAGCATAAAATCAATAAAGTGGAAAATCAGCAGTCTACTATTTCTGAATTTGGCATTCTGCCAGCACCTACTGGTGTTCCTTAAATTCCTGTTGGAAGAAGAGAATTAAAGTTTATTCTAGAAAGGAATAAAGTACAAGACCCCACAAATCTGGGATTAGAACTCATTAAATTTTATGATGACTATGATTGCCAAATACTTTCATTTAAAAAGTGTCTCATTGGTGTGTATATGAACATCCCTTAAGTTGTAACTCAGCTGTCAAGAACAGAGGATCAGTTTCTACTACCATCTGAAAATTTGGCTGAAGGACCCATTTCATAGAAACTAGTGAGGCTAGAAGGCAAACATATTCTTTTGAAGCCAGGTTTCTTTTCCAAAATATCTATTTCACAAAAAGGCAAAACAATTTCTCTAGATCACTACTATAAGATTCCCCCAAATATATTTCCCCCAAAAAGGAAAATCACCCCCCAAATCATTTCTCTCCAACACACATGCACAGAACCACACTAGCTCAGCACCACCCTTCCAAATGTACACACAGCCATCCAGATATTCCACTCACCCACAAACACACACAATTCCTCCCCAATGTTTCTGAGCTGCTCCCCCATGGCTTCTGCCCCTGTTGCCGTTCCTACTGCTCTGTCTGCCCACCACCATCTTTTTGCCGCTCCTACTGCTATTTCCCCCTGCACCCAAGTACACACTCTGAAAAGTAGTAGTTTCAGCCTGCACCCTGCCACACAACCTCTTCCTTTTCTTTGGAAGAATGCTCTGGACCCACAAGGACGCTAGGAAGCATTCTGGGCCATAGGAAGGAATACGGAGGGCAGCTGGAGTTCTGCTTTCCAAACCCAAGGTAAAGAAATAAGTAAGAATAAAACATGGAAGATGAAGTAAAAGCACAGAGGGGCAAGAGCCTTGTCAGGTGCCAAGTGGAGTGCTGCCCATTGCCATACCTGCAAGCACCGTATCTTGCTAATCCCAGCAATACAGAAATCTGATGAACAGGCTGAAACGTTTTATGAGGCTGTGCAATGGGATGTTATGTCCTCCCCACCAAACAGTTCAAAACCCCCTAAGTAACACCATGTACTGGGTGATGGATGCTTAGTCAAAAGAAAATGGCATGCCTTGCCAATGCTTTACTGCACCACCAAAAGCAACCAGCAACAAGGGGACAAGGATCAGCACCTAGCACAATACTAGATGCTGGCATGGTACCTCTGTTTGATTCAGGCTCATCAAGAGTGATAAAAGAATCATCCCCAGAACACAGTCTAGGCTTGATTGTCAGGTCCACTCCCAGTTCCCGAAGCCGATCCAGCTTGGACTTCTTTGCTCTTTCACCAGGAGCAAGTGATGTGGCCACCGGTGACTGAGCAGCTTCCTTGGGTCCTGTGCATAATTCTGATTGCTTGTCGCTTTGTTCAAGTACATTTTCTTCCACATTATTCTCCTGAAATTCCATGGATTCGACAGCATCCCGATGAGGCATTTCTTGCTTTTCGGTAGCTAGCTTCCCACTTAGGACCTCAGTTTTGAGGTCACTATTTTGTCCATTTTGCTCCAGATAATCTTCTGTCAAATGTTCCATTTCCCTCGCGATAGATCTCTCTCTGTTAACAAATGCAGTGCCTACAAGACTCAAAGGTTGTGAGTCAAGTCCCATTCCCAACCTCTTCACTGCTGCTTGGTCAACTTGTTCTTTCCAACTCTCCATACAGCCAACCCCTGGATTCTTTGCAGCAACACTTTCTTTGTCAAGACTGGGTTGGTATTTAGTTGACCTGTCAAGAAAAACAGATTCAGTTCACCATCACCATCCTCTGACCTTATGATTATGTGAACATAGGAGGAAATCAAGATTAAGCAGCTCTCCCCAGCCTGGTGGCCTTCAAATGGTTTGGACTGCAACTCCCATAATTCCCAGGCAGCTTGACCACTGGCCAACTGACTGGGGAAAATGCAAATTGCAGTCTACCACATCTTCAGGGTATCCACCTGGGCAAACATGAATCTAAGGAATCAGTATATTACCCTTGGAAAGAATATTAGAAGATGGACAATTTACATATGTCATGGAGGTTCCTGCCAAGGACCAGACATGGTAATATGTACAGGGTCTCCACAACTGGGGCAGCAGGGGGAATTCATACAGTACCCATTGAATTTTACACAGTTCAGGTGTATTACAATGATAATTCTCCTTGTTTTGGATTCTCGGGCTAGGAAATGGCCCTTCCACCAGAGCCCAGAGCAAGCAGAGAGGAAGGAAGGGCTGCTAGGACTGTCTGCCTTGCCCCAGGCTGAGAGGAGACCACCAGAACCACCTTTCCTCAGATTAGCAGGCGGTCATGGTACTTTGCCTTCTGGGAAACAGCTGGACCACCCAGGAACATGCCAGTGCACACAGGAACCACTTTCCATTCTCCTCAGTACCTGGCTGAACAAGCAGTAAGAAGGCCAGTCCATTCAAGCCTTCCCTTTCTCTTTTACATTTTCCCATAGGATTCCCAAAGGGAAGAGTGCATTTGGCACACCCTTTCTAGCTTAGGGTAAATAACAGCATTGCACATAAGAAAACCCTGACTGGAAATTCATTGTAGAAATGGCAAAGTTGGAATAAGGAGATGACTATGTTTTATTAAACTCTTCATATAACCAGTTTCCTAGGCATTCTACAATTAAAAACATAAGACAAAAGAAATTACAATAGGCTACTGAAATTCATCACAAGATAAAGAGCCCCAGTGCAGCACCATAAAATAAAAAACGAAGTGGAGATGGGAGCAAGGAACACAACTGTGCTCTCCAAATTAAAAATAAAAACAAACCAGAATTCTGCAAAAGACTATCCAAACGTTGCTCCAAGAAAACCAGAAAATTGAGACTTGTACAATTATGCATGCCTGCTTATTTTGCACAATATATTTAGATTTTGCTAGTAAAAATAATAAGCTAGGTAGGGCACTGAAATCTGGCTCTTGAGCTCCAAAAAACGGCTTCTGAAATTTCCACAGCACGCTTTTGCAGCCATAAGGTTCTTTTTCTTAAAAACAGAATTCTGTACCCAATATCACATCCTATGCTATTTTAGCATTATTATGCAACTGCAGCACAAACAGAGATATCTCTCACGAAAAGCAGCAGGAAGTGAGAAAAATGTAGGTAAAAGCAGACTTGACTTACTTTAGCAAATTCATAGCACTTCCCTGAAAAGTAGGCCGTGGTTTGCGCTTGAAGAATTCATGGATGCTTTTGGCTTCTGGTAAATGATAAGGGAGAGGCATGGTGGCTTCTGTCAGAGAAGAAAGCAGTAGGTTAGACTAGGCGGTCATCTTTGGTGTGTTGAAGGAATGTTTTACTTCTATGTTCATTTAACCAAAACCATAAAACAGTGTTAAATGAACACAGAAAACTAACTTTAAAAAGGAGCCAGAACATTTGTCTATCTAGTGTAGTACAATCCACAGTAGATAAACAATTGATCTACCCAGCAGATTGCCTAAACTGACTGGCAATTTATCTCCAAAGTTTTGGGCAGTTCTGTAGCCAGCATTCCTTTTCTGTCTTTAAATTAAATTACTTAAATTGTAAATTTTATTTAAATACCTGCTGGAGTGCCTCTCTCATCCACAGTCTACTAGGATACTACGTACACTCATGCTCTGGGGCCTTCCTCTAAGTGCCAACCCTATGGGAGGCTCAGAACGTAGCAACAGGTGGAAGGGCCTTTTCTATGTTGTCCCCACTCCTTTGGAAGAACCTCCCTGCTGTGGCCCACCTAGCACCTTTTCAGCAACAGCTCAAGACAGCCCTTTATGTCGTGAGCAGAGCCGGCTGGTGCCAGAGGTCAGACTAGATGGCCCAGGAGGTCCCTTCTGACTCGCTCTGTTTCTATGTTTATGCAGAGGCCTTGAAGGATCTCCTTGGTTATCCAGGGGCCTGACAGAATCATTCAGGTGGTTTTCCTTTGCAGGGTCTTTTTAAAAATTTTAAATTCATTTTAACATTGTTTTTATGGTATTTGGAATTTATTTTATTGGTTTGTTTTCCAGAAACTTCAGCTATGGAGTGGTACAGAAATGATATTAGTAACAGTAATAATAAATGTAAAGTACACACTCTGTGCTGAGCTGCAGTTCTTCCCCCTGTTAAATCACTTATCTCTGCCAGAAGCATAACTTGCACACAAAGCCTGAACACTGTGCAGCTCTAACATAGCAAAATTTGTAATTCAAGAATCTTTGCAACAAAATGGTAGAGGCATCAAGAGAAAGACTGGAAGGTAGCTCTCTGCAAGCATAATGAAGTGTAATAAATAAATATAGTTACTACAGCAAGCGTCAGGTGCTAGCCATTCTCATCTCAAACTGTTAAGAATCACAGTCTTTGGAACTGTTCTTAAGACAGGCAGTGGGACAGAAAGCCTTTGGGTAGTTAGTACATGATGAATTCTGCCTACTTTTCAGGTGCATTTTACATCTTCCTATTCAATGGACAAATAATAGTTATGAACTATCACATGCAATGTTATTAAAATCAATTTACCACAGTTATACGTACCCTTGAATAAAAACAAAGAAGTTTAAGAAGAAATTGCTGAAGTATGTAATGCTAGCCAGCCCCTGACTACAGCCCCAGCCTATGTTGGCTGATTATATTTATATGGAGGAACTGAACTGGATAGATTTGAAAGGTATAGGAGAAGTAGAGGATGGATAGCAGAAGTAGGGAAATAAAAATATGTGATGGAAGTCATCGGATGAGGAGGAAAATAATGAAGAAAATAGGTGCTCAGGAAGGAAGATGTGTTGAAAGAGAGGACACTGATGAAGGTAAGTAGAAATGTGAGAGAGATAATAGAAAACAAAGATTTAGAAGGGATAGGAAGTAGAAGGCAAGAGAAAAGGTAGATTTCTTTTCAGGGTCTTTTATGGGATGGCCAGAGAGTGTGGGGGAGCCTAGCAGTGCACTCATTGAGGGAGCGAAAAGTACAGGGAGATATGACAATGGGGGTTTAACATGCCTGCCTAGGAGAAGAGAAGGTTGATACCTTACACCTGTCCTCTCTTCTGGTTTCTCCCCAACCAAACAGTCCCAAGCATCCACACCAGCCAACCCTCAGGTCTGGTGGTGCTGTTATTGAATGCCAGGTCAGTTTATAATAAGATCCACCTCATCTGATTAGGGATGAGGGGGCAAATCTGGCATGTATTACCGAGACCTGGGTGGGAGAAGCAGGGGAGGTTCCTCTTTCCCAATTGTGCCCACCTGGGTACTCAGTTCAACACCAGCAACAGCTGGAGGGCTGGGGAGGGGGCAGTCACCATAGTCTACAAACATTCAATCTCCTTTTTGAAGCCCAGGCTTTCCATCTCTTTGGAGACAGGCCTCTAGAGGTCATATTGTGCACTGGGCTCTCAAGACAGACTAGGGATCCTGCTGATACACCACCCACCTTGCTACCCAGTAGCCTCCCTGCCTGAGCTGATGCAGATGGTCTTGGACCTAGTGCTGAGGACCCCCAGGATGTTGGTCCTGGGGGACTTCAACATCCATGCCAAGGCTGTTCCACCCTGGGTGACTCAGGACTTCATTGCTGCCGTAACAACCACAGGGGTGTCTCAACATGTTACTGACCCAATGCATGAAAAGGGTCACACACTTGACCTGGTTTTCTCAGCTGGATAGGAGGATGGTGGCTCAAATGTGGAAGGGTTAATGTCAACCCCATTGTCATGGTCAGACTACTTCATGGTCAGGTTTAGACTTCTGGCCTTTTTCTCCCTCTGCAAGACTAGGGAACCAATCAAAATGGTCTGCCCTGGATAGTAATGGTTCCAGGAGGGCTCTGGGGGTCTATCCAGCTGATGTGGTTGGTGTTTCTGTTGAAGCCCAGGTAGGGAATAGGGAGGCAACCCAGGCAGCTGACATGATCACACCTAAGGGCCTTCTCCCCTCTTGCTGAGTTCAATCAGCTCTGGGGTATACAGCACAACTTAGGGCAATGAAGCAAGAGTGAAGAGAGCAGGTGGAAGATATCTCTGGATGAATCTGATTGAACATCATTTAAAGATCATTACTGAGCCTATTCTGTGGCACTGAAAAAGGCAAAACAAAAATATTTTGCCTCCTCCATGTGTCTCCACAGTGCTGTCCAACTGAGCTTTTCCAAGTGGTCTGAGGGCCATTGCAATCTGGCCCATCAGTAGAAACTACTGAACCTTCAGTATTCAATGCTAGTTTAAACTGTTTTATTTAATGTTTTGTATTCTACAATAGACTCCCAACTATCCGGCCTAATGTGGCGGAAGGGCAGGCCGGATAACAAAAAAGCTGGATAGGCTGGAGTTCTATAAATGCTCACTTCCTACCCCACCCATACCATTAAACACCCTTTTTATACCAAAACCTGCTCTTATTCATATTTTCTGACCTCTTAGTACAGGCCAGTACTTTACAAATGTTTGTTAAGTACTGTACATTTTAAAAATTTATTACAGAAAAAGAAAGTCCAAGGATAAACATATTATAAAATTTATCTAAAAAGGTGTACAATGTCTAACTTAATTGCAGGAAACATAAAATCGTGTACACTGTACAGTATGAATACATACACTTTTAAAATAAACAAAACATTAATGTAAAACATAAGCTTAATTCTTACAAAAATTATTTAAACTTATTTTACTGTTCATTGATAGTTATTTTTTAACTAGGCCGGATAGTATGGAAGTCAGATAGTCGAGAGTCTACTGTATTTTAATATTGATATATTATCTTTTATATTTAAATTATATTGTCAATATGTTCTGAATATGTTGATTTATTGTTATTGATTTTAGAATGTTATATTGTTTTTATTTTGTGAGCTGTGCAGACAGCCCAGATATAGCCTATTGTAGCAGCATATAAATCCATTAAATAACTCAATCTTGTAAAGAATTTAAAGTCTTACCTCGTACCAGTCGCTGGCTCTCACTATGCAACTGTTTCAATGCTTCTTTACGTAACTTTGCTGCCTTGCGCTCCTAAAAAGGGAGGGAGGGAGGGAGGGAGGGAGGGAGAAGAGAGAAGCTAGGAATTATAAGGTATTTTTAAAAGTATTAAGTGATTGTGCTTAATACTACTAAAATAAGGCATGCTGGGGTGGTAGATTTGATTATCCTAAGTACTATGTAACTGCCTGGAAGTTTAAAACAATGCAACAGAAGCTAAAAACAAGTCCATTGTGAGAAAATATTCACCTTTCTAGGTTCCTTTAACAGTGGTTCCTCATTTTCATTCATTATATGTTTGTAAACTTCACTCTCAGAAAACATCTGTTTAAATCAACATGGGAGAAGAGTCAATAGAATTTCAATTCATGCAAGTGATTCTTGTCCAGACAATTTATAGAATTACCATACACACTATTAACTTTTGAGCTGAAAGATGTCTAAAGTTTGTGCCATTTACTGTAAATCAGAGCTAATATCTCTTCCACACGCTGGATAGCCATTTGAAGAGATCCCACTGCAGCCCGGGGTGCCTTGCAGATAGAAAAACAGGCAAAATAGAAAAGCATAGAAACAGAGCGAGTCAGAAGGGGTCTCCCGGGCCATCTAGTCTGACCTCTAGCACCAGCCAGCTCCGCTCACGACATGCCCACCATGTGCATGTCCAGCCTATCCTTGAACACCCGCACCAATGGGGCCTCACAAACCTCTCGTGAAAGCCCATTCCACACCCTCGGGGTCCTGACTCTCAGGAAGTGCTTCCTGGCATCCAAATGGAACCTTGGCTCCCTGAGCTTTGCTCCACTGGAGCGTGTCCTGCCTTCCTCTGCAGAGGAGAACAGGGCTCTACCCATCTCCATGTGACATCCCCTTCCATACCTGTATGTTGCCAACATACCCCCTCTGAGTCTCCTCTTCTCCAGGCTGAAGAGACCCAGTTCCCTCAGTCTCGCCTCATACCCCTTCCCCTGCAAACCAGCCACCAACCTTGTGGCCCTACGCTGCACTGACTCTAACCTGGCTATATCCTTCCT